TGAGAGAGAGAGAGAGAGAGAGAGTTGAGAGAGAGAGAGAGAGATCTTCTTCTTCTTCTTCTTCTTCTAGGTGCGCAGTTGGCAGCGGTGCGCGCCGCGCGAGCAGGCGGGACAGCGCCTCGACGTCGGCCATTGCCCGCCCGATGGCCATCGCCATCGCCTCGCGCCGTGTTTTTAGTGCCCGGCCGCGGCCGGGCGAGGCCGAACACGGCCGAACGCGGCCGTACACGGCCGATCGCGGACACCGGACGGATGACGGAGAGAGGGACGACATTCAGGACGCCCTCGATGAGGAGGAGGGCCGCGAGGGTCGGGCCAAGGAGGGGGGGGGTGGGAGACGAGGCAGATGAGGCAGTCGGAGAGCCTGACCTGCCAGGGGAGGAGGTGGTGATGACGTCGAGAGGCGTCGGTCGAGCGCGACCTGAGTTGGAGCGCGTGAGGAGGGAGAAGAGGACAGTGGGGCAGGCTGACGTCGAGGTGCGCGACACGGGCAAGGAGAAGAGGGCTCGGCAGACGACGATTGACGAGATGTACGCCAAGGAGAAGTTGGCCGAGTTCACAGACGCGTGGCTGCAGTGGATCTACGTGAAGGGGTTGCCATTCAACGCCTTCCGTGGTCCGGAGTTCCAAAGGGTGCGGCAGACGGCAGAGAGAGTGCCTCGCAGTGTCCAGTTTCGGTTTCCCTCGTTCAGGGTTACAGCGGGCGCCGGTATTCCTTCGCAGAGGGCAAAGGTGGCGACGATGGTGAGCGAGGTGCGCGTCGCTTTCGGGCACAGCGGTGCCACCATCCTCTTCGACGGGAGGAAATCGCGTAGCGGCAAGCCGCTCGTGAACTTCCTCGCAGGGAGCGCCAACGGTGCCCTTCTCTACGCCACCGTCGCACGTGACGGGTCGGTCCGAGACACATCGGACATCGTGTACCGTAGGTGGCGGGCCATCATCTTGTCCTTTCCTGCAAAAGACGTGATCGGCTTTTGCACAGACTCCGCCAGTAACTATACGGCGGTGGCGTGCAGATTCGCCACTGACCCCGACCACGACATTAGGAGGATCACTTGGCTCCCCTGCTCCACCCATGTCTGCAACTTGATGTTGTCAGATATCGGGACGCGAGTTGGGTGGGTCAAGGACACCATCATCCGCGCTCGGGCGCTTGTGCGATTTATTAAATCGCACGACGCTGCTCACGCCCTGTTTAGGAAGGTGAGCCCTCGTGTTCAGCTCGTCAAGGCCGTTGAGACACGGTTCGCATCGGTTTTCCTGGTGCTGACGTGTCTCAAAGGCCGACGAGACGCGTTGGAGAGCATGTTGCACGGGGATGCTTGGGCACGCATCCCGTGGGAGCGCAACAGGCATGTATCGCAGGCGCTGTGGGTGCAGCAGCAGATCCGGGACGCGGAGTTTTGGCGCTGTGTCCAATACGCCCTCCTTATCATGGCGCCCGTCCACCAGCTGTTGCGCAGGATGGATAGGGGGGGGATGATGATGTCCGTCGTTTACGAGTGGAGTCAGCATGTGCTGTAGTTGATGAGGAGGGTCGACGTGCCGGAGGACACGATCGAGTCGTGCGTGCGTGAGGTTGCCATCCGCAACCTCCACATGCTGGAGCCCGCACATGCCGCGGCCCACCTCCTCAACCCTCGTCGACGGTCCCTCACGTATTACGAGTCATTACAGACGACCGCCGACGACGCCCGTGTGGTCGAGGAGTGCGACAGATTTCTCCTGGCGCAGACCGGCGGCGATTCGGTCGGCAGACTGTACAGGACCGTGAGGGACCAGATGAGGGCCTTCCACTCGAGACGAGGGGATTGGGGAGATCGGTCCCTCTCCGATGTCGAGGCGGACGATTGCAGGAGGGACCACGAGACGGAGCGATGTGCAACGTGGTGGTTTGACCATGGACGGGCCCACCCGGAGTTGCGCACCATCGCCATCCGTGTCATGCACTTGTGGACGTGTCTGCCTCTTGAACTGGGTGCAGCACGAGCGCATCAACACGGCGAGGCACGCCAAGCTTGGGTTTGCCAAGCTTGCACAACTGGTTGAGATTGCCACCAATCTCAAACTGGCCTCGTGCGCACAGCAGGGTGGTGGCTACGTGTTGCCATGGGTTATGGGGACCGGTCGGGAGGGGACGGCGGCAGAGGAGGAGGATGAGGAGGGAGACGTGAAGCCCGAGGTGTGGGGAGCGCGACCTGCTGGCAGTGTTCCCGAGCAGGAGATCTAGCGACAGATTGTCGCTTTCCAGGCCAGCCGACCGTCCAGAGCCCATTCGGTTCGGGACGTGTTCGGCAAGAGGGCGACGAAGCTGCGACCGTGGCCAGAGGGTGGGGATGATGCGGACGCTGCTGCGGCAGACGACAACATCGACGACGAGTGGACAAACGATGATGACACGCCGCTGAGTGGCGACCCGACGGTTGAGCGGGTGTACTTCACTTACGGTAGGGGACATGACGACATGGATTCATTCACATCAGTTCTCACTGGTGGTGTGTCGTCGACCACACAGGCGAGTGGCAGCAGCAGAGCCGATGGTGGTCGTGGAGGACGTTCGCATGAGGAGGTTGGCGTCGACGACTCGGGGGAGCAGCAGCCACGGGGAGGTCTTCGGCAGACAGGCAGGTGTTGGGAGGTTAGGAGCGACAGCGAGGCCGAGGAGGAGGCCGAGGATGAGGGGGTGCCCCTCCACGATCGCCGTTTCTCTCCCTCCCATCATCGGAGCGCTGCACAGCCCCAGGTACTTAGGCGTTCGGAGAGGTTGGCGTCGGCATCAGGCAGAGACCGGACACATGACGGCGAGGATCATGGGGGGCAGGGGACTCCTTCCGACGCTGGTATCCGCCCCCGCTGCCCGTCGGTGCTCCGCACACACGACTTTGACGACGTAGGGCTTGGTGGGAGCTTGGGAGATTTCAGTGTCGAGGGACGTCGGCGTGCCTCACCGTCGGAGGTGCGCACCGACGAGGATGTTGTGCAGGGCGCTGTTGAGACTGAGGAGGAGAGGGATGCCCGTTTGGACCGAGAGTAGGAGGAGCGGCTGGGGAGTTTGCCACGATGGGACGCTCGGTTCGCGTATCTTGACGAGCAGCGTCGGCGGAGGGAGTTCGAGACAGGAGGGGGGGAGGCCGTGACGTCGACGACTCGGGTGTCCCTGAGGAGGCAGTTCAGGGGGAGTTCGATAATGAGGGACAGGATGCCGCCGCGGGTGGTGGGTCAGGTGGTGGACGACGCGGCGACGGGGAGACCGCGGGTGATGAGGGGCAAGATGTTGTCGTGGGCGGTGGGTTCCCTAGTGGGGGCTGTGTGTCCGAAATCGGATTCAACGGGGGTTTTGAGTTGAACGGTTCAACTCCCATTCAACTCCCGTTGCAACTCCGCGTTAAACCGAGTTGACGTGGTATAACTCGGCCCGCGGATTTTGTTTTTGCAGGTAAAACATAAGTGAAAAAAAAATAAAAATATATGGGGGTGTAGATGTTTTTGCTCTCTACATCCCCATATTTTTATTTTTATTTTTTGAGCATTAAAATTATTTAAAAAAAAATAAAAAACAAAACCAGACTCAAAACAAATAGATTTTTTTTTTTTTATTTTTTTTTGATTGATTGATTGATTGATTGATTGATTGATTGATTGGTGGGGGATGGGTCGCCCCTCCCACCCCCACCAAATCACACACACACACACACACACACACAGACTCTTACTTGCGCGGGGTCTGAAGC